CCACATGAGCAGTAAGAGTACAGAGCTGGTTGTGATATCCCAGGCCACCCCACCATTTGCCTACATGGGGAAAAAAAAAAAATCTCTGTAGCTGCACCTCACTCCTTAAACTCCTTTGTTGTCTTGTATTGCCATGTAAGCCCTGTGTACATTTAAAGGGAACCAGTTCATTGGCCTGACGAGACCCAGAATTAAATGTATGCTTCATATCTTAGGTTCATTGTCTTTTTTCCTGGATGGCATGAACATGATTATTAAGGATTTTGAGCCTTCATGAGGCCACATGAGTAATTTAAAAAGCGCTCCTTTTAGAACTAAAGCTAGCCTAAATCTCACCTTTTTCTTTTCCAGTCTGCAAACTACATGGAGTTAACTGATGATAAGAAGCCATGTGTTCAATATTTCTAAAATAATGAAATTCACATAGTCTCTCCATCCTTAGAGATCCCTTCCTTCCTCCCTCCTTTCCTCCTTTCCTCCTTCCTTCCTTCCTCATGAGCTTCTGTTATCTCTTCAAAACTGCATGCCATTTTTCGTCTTTCCTTGCACGTGGATGAACAATGAGAAAGAACATTTTCCCTTTTGGGTGGGGGGAGGACTGTGATCACTGTAATCACTTTCCTAAAAGTGATTTCACCGTTAAGTTCTCTTCTCCCCATAGAAGTAGAAACATATTTTACAAAACTATGTTTAGTTTAATTTACACATCCTTTCATGAACAGACCAAGTTCTTTAAGGGCATTTATTCTGCTTCATATAAATAATTGATCAGCCAAGTTAATTTACTTCTGCCTGACTTGGTCAACCTTAATTAACTGCCCTGGAATCAAGACTGAACTTTTTGTTAGCTTAAAATCTTTCACAAGCATGATAACAAGGGCTTTATTTTCCCTAAATTTTCAGCATCAACACTGTAACCAAGGAAATAATCATAAATAATAAAGCACTGCTTTAATTTACTATAAATACATTGGCCTGGACAATATGAATTTTCCAGAATACTTCCAGAGAGCAGCTCTGTTGGCAATGACAATCCATAAGTATGCTAAACGCAGTTCTTATCCTTTTCTACAAGTCCCTCTAGCACAAAAATCGATCTTCTGAAATCAGTAGCTCTGTAATGTTTCCAGGCAAGATGAGAAGTGGGCCATTTTAGCTTTCTTAAGCTTTTCGACATCTATGAAATTGTAGCATCAGCCTTTGGAGGGTTGTATTGAATGGATCATACGATTGAAACAGGCCCAGCACATTTGGAGAAGCTGTACAGGAAGTCAGAAGGTTTGGCCTGTTTGTGGAGAAGGGACTTACTTGTTCGTGGGTATGTGTGGTCATGCCCTCCAAGTGCTGTTCCTTCGTGTTTAGGCACTCTGGAGGATCATACAGTGTTTTCTGTTCTCAGTTTGTCATGGAACAGAATAGTTCATTCCCAGAGAGAAGCAGAGGTTATATGAACCAAGTGCTGGAACAAGCTTCCTCCGAAAAAAGAGGGTGCAGCGTTCCACGAGAGAGAAGACAGATGCCTCTCCTGTGCATTGCCTTGTTTCAGCTGCTGCTAATAATGTAAAACTCAATAGGAAAAGACAGATGCAGTTATTTGCTAAAGAGTGCTGACACTTTTCATCGTTATATTTGAATGCTTTTCTTTGTCCACCTGCCACCCTCATTGTTGTCTTCTCTGGAATGTACTTAGTTTTCTTTTCTCTGATTTACTCATTCACCACCTAGCACAGGACTCTGCAAAGTAGAAATTCTCAACCATTTATTGAATGGACAAGTTCATGTCTGACATGGAGAACTGTTATAGATACACCTATCCCTTAATCTGTTGAGCGTTAGTTATTTTATCTGTGAAATGGGGATAACATTTACCTGCCTTATCTCCCTCGTAGACTTCTAATGAGTTTGAAAAGTACGTAAGAGGGCTTTGCAGGTTGTGAAGCATGGTGCAGATACAAAGGCTTGTTAGATGGCTTGGAACGTTCGATAGAAATATTGCTGGCCCAGACACTCTTAGAAATGTTCTTAGAAATTGACACTCCTAATTTTTCACGTGTGCTTTTCAAAAAGCTGTTTTCTCCTGATTGGTGTAGGAAATTATGGGAAACTTTAAATCTTCCAACCTACATACTACAGTTAGCACTTGACTAATTAAGGACATCCTCAGACCAAAATAATCCTTTATGCAATTTTGGTCCCAAAGCCTGCACTCTCACAAACCTGATTCACAAGCCAAGCTGTTTGGCTTGATGCCTGCAAAACTTGTACTGGAGGACTTGGCAGGCTTCTTTGGAACTGTGTGGAGCAAAAATGGAGCCTTCTCATCAAATTGTGTATTAGAGATTATTCGTACTCCACCCACCAGGATGGTGTCAAACCCAGGAAACAAAATCAGGCCCAGTCTCTTAGATACCTGTTCTCAGGTCTGGGGCCCTAATGGTCACATGGTCTGGAAGCAGCATTCTATCTGCAGCTCTGTTCCATCAGTACAGGGTATTTGGCTAAATATGCCCCCCTTCTGAGAACAGGTTTAGAGTTGATGTATATAAATGGTATGGTCCCTTGGGAGTCTAGTCCCTGATATGGGTAGGCTTTCTCAAAAGGTTAAAAAAAAAAAAGAAGAAAGAAATCTGTTTTTTTTTTAGATATACCTGTGACATATCCTAATAATTAAATGGGTTTCTTTGTTACCTACTCTAAAACAACCGTTCTTTCCCTTAGATACCTAAACACTGTGCCTTTTCCTTTGTTCTGTACAAATGGACAAGTTTGTGGAAGAGAAACTGTGAAACACTGGAGGAAAAGAAATACCTATGTTTTACAAATTGGTTCCTTTTTTAGGTGATGAACAAGGTTCTCATGTTGCCACAAAGTATCTCTAAACACTGTGCCTTTTCCTTTGTTCTGTACAAATGGACAAGTTTGTGGAAGAGAAACTGTGAAACACTGGAGGAAAAAAAATACCTAGGTTTTACAAATTGGTTCCTTTTTTAGGTGATGAACAAGGTTCTCATGTTGCCACAAAGTATCTTGTTGCCTGGTTCTTATATCTCAGGGAAGATTTTGGAAGATTTTAGTTGTATTTTGATAGATCTTTTACTCTGGACAGTAAGGATATTAATGCAGTTTTTAAAGGACTATAATTACTGGAAAGTCTGATCTGAAGAGACGAGAGTGAATCAGCTGTTGCTTCTGAGTTTGTTTCCCACCTGTTAGCAAAAAATGCCATTCCTAATCCACTTCAGAATTGGATTAACTTAAAAAAATATGTCTTCTGGGTTTATGAAGTCTGCAGTCAAATTGGATCTTACTTTTTGCAATGAAAGGAGATGAAGAAACATGTGAATTTTTCTGCTCTTAATTCTTCCATTTGGTTTTCGTGCAAGTCTGCAGAAAACAGACTTGAGCCAATTTCTAGCAAGAAAACAACCTCCACAAAGATGCCCAAAGTGTTTACATTTCCCTCTTGTCACATATTTCATGTATGGGGGAGAAATGTGTAGCACTGGTTGTACATATGTCGTTTCATGATGGGAACAAATTTGTGTTGAAAGTTTTCTCCCCTTTTATCTGGGATTGGTATTTCACATTTAAAGTCTTAATTATTCAGGCATTTCTTGGCTTTGATGTTTGAACTGTCAACTTCCTTTAATGACTTGTTTTTCCATTTTGAAGTCTTGTCTGTGAACTTGGAGTGTGACCCTGCCATTTTCATTGTTTTACCCCAGTGCACCTCAATTTAAGAAAACACCTTGTGGTTAAGAGCTGTAATATCAGACTGAACTAGTTCAAATCCTGATTCCACCATGACTAGCTGTGATATATAGTGGACAAATTATAATAATCCTCATGGAGACTTAATTTTCTCTTCTGTAAAATGGGGATAGCAATTGTCATCAGAACTAAATTGGAGAATATATGTCTGTCATCTGCAGTAGAGTCTGGTACAACACTGGTGATTAATAGATGGTAACAGTCGATGTTAGCAGATTTTATCTGTCTTTTGTCATATTTGGGCACTGATACCAAGCTGAAACCTGAATTGGCTCTCTGGGATAATGGTTTGGTGCCCAGAGAGTAACAAAACTGAATGTGAAATGTTTTTACACCTAGGTAATACTCTCTAGCTACTCGTCTTGTAGTACATATTTTTTCCTATTATACATTTAGTACTTTCAAATTCAGACATTTTCTTAGGTTTACCTAAGCAAGATTTTTCTCCAAAATTAAATATAATAAACCCCAGACCTTTCAGGCCTTAAACCAAACTAGAGATCAGTAATCCAACATGAGGAACGCCTGACTTTGAATGGGATTTCTCAGGATAATTTTGAGTACGAAACAAAGATCAGAGTCAGAATTTGTTTAGCTCCTGAAAAGTGGAACTTTTTTTTTTCGTGTTTTCTCTCTCTCTGAGTGGCCTATCTTATTGAAATGGCCAGTTTTGATATGTTCTGTACCTGAATGATTCCAAGGAGTATGAATCTTTAAAATGCTTTTTGGTGTTTGAATGTGAGGTGTTTCAGCACAAATGACCTCAGGGGCCCTCCTGGGAATGTGTGTCATCTCTCGATAGACTAAAGTTGGAGAATATTTCTCTAAGAATGTAACATTGCCACACTGCCACTGCACATATTAAACTTTAATGTTATACCTAATATGATTTGTAAGATGACATTGGTTTTTGAGCAGAATATCCAGATATAATCAGAGAAATTTAGTCCAAAATTCTAGGTTCACCTGGAAATATTTATTTTTTTCTAAGGGATAATATATTTAAAACAACACAACTAAAATTTGTATTGGGACTGACAGTTTCATACTCATAAACTAAGGGACTGGAATAAATTGAATGAAAGAAAATGACAACTGTTTACAGATTTTGGCAACATTTTAAAGCAGGGCCCTTCTCTGTATGTACAACAACTGTTTTTAACAGCTGCTTTTTTTTTTTTCTTTTTTCTTTTTCCTTTTTTTCCCCCTCCCAAAAATCCTTCTATCAGGTTTTTGAGTCATGATGCAAGAATCTGGGACTGAGACAAAAAGTAACGGTTCAGCCATCCAGAATGGGTCGAGCGGAGGCAGCCACTTGTTAGAGTGCGGCAGTCTTCGGGAGGGGCGGTCCAACGGGGAGACGCCAGCCGTGGACATCGGGGCGGCTGACCTCGCCCACGTCCAGCAGCAGCAGCAGCAGGTACTAGGTTTTGCAGCTAAGGGAGGTGGAGGGTGGTGGATGCAAACGTTACTGCTTAATCTTGCACTTGACCACTGTCAGTGTTTTGTGCCCACCTGTCTATCTATCGTTTGTCTGTCTGTTATATAAGATACCAGCCCTCTAGGGTTCCTGGTAGTTGACTTAAGAGACTAATTTTCAAGCCCTTGGGAGTTGGAAGCCTTAGAAGTCCCCTTGTAGGGAGTCATTGTTGAGACTAAGATTGAGTGGACCTCTGGCCACTCCCTTCCAGCCCCAAAAGTGTCAGCCCAACCTTTAAGTGTTTTAAGTAGAATTACTCTTTGGAGAAATGGTTCTCAATGCTTTAATTAAAAATAAAACAAAAAACATGCTTAAGCTTTATGAAGAAGGAAACCAAATAAGAGATAAGGGACAAAAGAGAGAAGGATATGAAAGAGAAAAAGTTGGTGAATGAGAAAAGTAGAAACAAATAGAAATACAGACAGAATTGCTTCACTAACAGGCAGAACATCCATAACATAGGCATCGGTGTAGGAAATTGCCTCTTGCTACCTGTAAGAATTTAGGGATATGGGTATTTGCATACCTTTCTTGTATTCATATGGCAGCTGGTATGTTGCTAAATCCTATTAATGTTTTAAATGATCTTTTATTGGTGCCTCCACAAAATGCACATAAGTTGGGACATACTCATTTCTGTTGTACTGTTTACAGTTAAGTAAGTGGATACCCATAAGTAACTGCTGAAGTATTTCTAAATAACAGTGACCCAAGAAATGGTATTGTGTTGGCAAAGTTTTGAATAAAACTCAAATAAGTAAATAGCATTTGTTTGAAGACTGGCTTTGGTTTCCAGCCTCTCTTGGATTCAGGAAATATTATTAGTTTTTGTTAATGATAATGGATGTCTTTTGTTCTATTTCTGTCCTTGATTCATTTATTCAATACATAGTTATGGTGCCATTTGGAAACAGGTAAAAGAAAAAAAAAAGAATGATGTATCTTTGGGCCTTTCTGAAAGATACAGAGATTGTTGGGAAATGGGGGAAGAGAAGGCAAACCTTTTATCAAACCATTTTCTTGGAGTCTGTGTCAGGGAAGCTCAGGAAATCCCTTCTTAAGTTAGGGATATAGGTTTTGACAGGCTTTAAAGCATGTTTTATTTTCTCCTTGCTAAGAGTTTTTAAAAATAAAAGGAGTCATTAGATTGTTAGCCCGTTACAAGATGGTGGAACCAGCATAAGACTATGGAACCTGTTGGGGGAAAGATACAACAAAGAGAAAGAGAAACCAACTGGCAAGCCAGACTCTTAATTCAGAGGACTTCGTGGAAGTGGTTTGATCTCTCTTTCACTGGTAGCCCAAACTCATCCTTGCCTGCATCTTGGGCATTGCATCAGCTAGACTTAATGATATTTGTTGTGTAAAACCTTTGTGCATTTCAGTTAATGCAAATGGCCAAATTCTAACCAATAAGCTTGTTAGCAAAACCTAGCAGTAAACAGTAGAAGAGTATCTATGTATTTGTGTTAACATAAGTTCATGTGCTGTTCTTAGCTATTTATAATTGAATTGAGAATAAACAGTTGAGATTTTAGAGTGTCATTTTCTATGGCCTTACCAGACAGAAGTAAAAATTGACTATTTCTTTATGGAGCATTTGAGGTGGGGCTATTGACTGATGTGGTATGAATTCCAAAGGATTAGTATTTAGAGTACATAATTAAATAAATGGAAAACTGACTTCTGGATTTTCTTCAAAGAATTCAGAATCATTCAGGATCTCAAAGTAGTAAGCCAGCCAGAAAACTTTACATATGTACCAACAACACACACACACACACATACATGCACACACAGACACAATACCAACAATAATAAATTGCCTGCACAGAAGAAATTTATAAAAGCACGTTTCAACAGCATTTTTCTTAAAAAGTATCAGTTAGCAAAATTCATTACCTACGTCTTCCCTCTTTACGTTTGCTGTGACCACTCTGGAAAATTTGTTGTTATAGGTTATTGGTATAAAGTTCAAGAAACCAATTTTGATTGTACTTTGAAACTCTTTTTCAATATTTTACAACAATCTTATTTCTGTTTGTCATTGATATGCTTTGGGAAGAAAGAAAGCAGTTGGGTCTATCATTTGAGTCTAAAACCCCACTTATTGTGGTTGGCAAGCCTTTTCAGGCCTTTTAAAATAAAATACTGACAGCTGTTTGACTCCCCTAAGTATATGTATGATAAGGCTCTTAACAGGTTGGGGAAAAGGAAAATCTGCAGATGAAATAAGAAAAACTACAGAATTGAAAATATTTCACCAAACTAGAATTATCAGAGTTTTCTTTGAGATGAAAAACTGCAACAATTAAGCAATGCGGAGAAATGCAAGTGTCACTTGATGGAATTTGGTTGTTTTTGTCATTTTTATTCTACAAGTTTTTACTTGAAGTGAGAATACCAGCAGTGAGAAAATCACAGCCATGCTGAATTCATTACTGCGGTAGTCACACAAAACCACGGATAAAATTTCAATAACTGCAGGCCACAGTTGAGTAAACAGTTGCACTGAAATTTAATTCCTGTTGACTTTTCCCCCATTCCTCGCCAGGGGCACATTCTGACTCCGTAGTACAAAGACAACAGGGGTTACAGCTTTGATTAATGTAGGACAGTGGAAGAGAATTAGAACTGTAAAATATGTTAGAAGTCCACGGAACACAAAGATCAGGCTTAAAAGGGCTTGGTATAAAAATAAGTTAATTATGCTGTATGTTAAACTGGAGGTTATAGAATTTCTCAGTTGCACCAGTACCATCATTGATGATATAGGCAGAGTTTTTACTTAGTGCCAAGATTTAAAATAAATGCAAACCATTCCATGTTTGCTCCATTTTATCAAAGATAATTACAAATTATAGCAGATGCCCTTTTCAGAATGGAGGGCTCTGACAAAGATTCACTGTAGAGTGAGCACGTTCCAGACTGAGTTTGGCTGATAGGTTGGCTGAATTGGGTCCAAACAGAATTGTTTTTTTTTTTTTTAAAATTCATTAGCTGACATCCTAGAGAAATGGGAGAAATAATGGTGTTTCCATCTTCTCCTGAAAAATCAGAATATCTGGTAACCTTGGGCCGATAGTCCCCCAAGGGCAACAATTGTTGGGAGATGAATTGCTGCCTAAGACAAGGAGCCTGCAGTCCTCCAGCTTGTTCTAGTTCCCACCCAGCAGCGTTGCTCATTTATGCTCTCTAGACAGTGGAGTTGGTGATTCTGGTCTGGAAGATGCAAAATCATCACTCAGAAGCCATCAGCCAAGGAGAGGTGCTGCCATTAGCTGAAGGAACCCGCCAACACACTCACAAACTGTCTTCCTTCCTCAAAACTAAATGTATCATCTCTGTAATGTTTCAACTCTCTTTATATCTGGGGCATGAAACTATTATAACAATAGTTTTTTAATAATATAATTTGATTGTTTCTGAACATTTTCTTTTAGTCATTGAGTATTTCTTTACCCGATACCATAACTGTTCTTTATTTTCTGTTAGGCCTTTCCCATTTCTGTGTCTGTAAAAGTTCTGTATTGAATATTCACTACTCCATTTTGAAACTCAGCAACAAATACTATTACCAATTACTAAGGTTTTTTTTTTTTTCTTAAAGGATTTTACAATGTCCAGAGCAATTTCGTAAACTGCGTGGATTAATGCATTTTAAAAGTCTTGAATTTTAGAAAGCAGAATTTTATTTCCATATTGCTGCAAATGAGAGCTTTTTCAGATAAGCATATTACATAGAGCATAATGTTTAGAAGTTTCTCCATATACAGCATATGCTGTCAGGTCAATTAACAGAATGCATACTAGAAAATGTTTATTCAATAAAAATGAATAGCTGTTAAATAAAACAGCTATTTCTTAACAACATTACATTTAATGATGGATTTTTGGGGGGTTCTTTGTTTTGTTTTGTGTTTTTGGTACCACCTGGCAGTTTTATTGTCTGTAAGTCAGTGTAGGGAGAGCTTTGGTTGCTGTGGTTTTGAGGTGTGGCTGTCGTTTTATATAAGAACAGTTTAGAGGGGGTCTGTGAGAAAGTCACACAAAAAAGATAAGCTATATTTGGGGCTTTACCATGTATTATTTAAAGAGTGTGTATAAGTGAAGTGTTTACCTGACACATCTTTGACATTTGGTTTAAGGTATTGAACCTTTTAGTCCAAAAGGTAGTGTATGTGTTTCAAGTTAACAGTGTTGAAGGACAGAAAATGGGAAATGACTAGTAAGGAGGTAAGAGAGGCAGAAAGAATAGGGAATTTCTCTTGAAAAATTGTGAAAGGAATTAAGGAGGTTCCATTGTGTTGAATTTTGCCAATGAGATGCTCAAGTAGGTAAAAGATTAGTCATTATACAGGACCCAAGAAACTCAAGAGAAAGAGGATGAGTGGTAGGACTCAGGAAAAGAAACTGGTCGTGTACGGTCAAAGGTGATGTAGAAAACAGTGTCAGAGGAACCTGGGAGATTCATGAATATATATCCTAGCAAAAATCTCTTTTGGAACTTTCAGGAGATACGGCTTTAATAATAATTTGTTGACAGATTAGCTTCAGTGATTACGAAGAGTTTGTTTTGCAAAACTGGCAGGCTCCTATCTGTTCTCTGAAGGCAAGGAACCTACTTTGCTGTTTTGTAACTGCTGGCGTTTATTGACAACAAGCGCTGAGCAGGCAGAATTGGAATGTTTGTATAATGTAAACCTATAGCTCGCCTGATGGAGTCTAGTGTACTTTTAGGTAGTGCATAGATTACTTGATAAAAAGGGTTACAAGGTGACTGCTTTTATGACAAAGAAGAATAGCAATATAAATGCAAGTGGTACCTGGAGCCACAAGAAGGAAGTTTATGTAGGGAATTGGACCCCATGTTAGAAAGTTTCTTTTCATCACTTCGTCTTTGAACTTCAATCTATTGTAATTATGAAGTGTTACTTGTA